GCGATGAATAATTATGGTACATTTCGGTGTCTCCTGGGCGCGAAATTTACAGCAGTACAATTTTTCAAACAACGGTCCAACGGAGTCATAATGGTCTTTGCACGCGTTTATTAACCCCTTAACGTTCATGCCCGAGTCTGACTGCTTTGAAAAACAATATTTGTTTAATCCAAAGGTTCAAGGGATTATAATATTTGTTTCCTTTCAAATTATACGTCAGATACAACATTGTAATTAACAAAAACCGTATTTTTAGAAACAAATCCAATAAAGAAAACTGATTATTGTTGGTTAACCCGAAAAATATGAGCGTTAAAGGGTTAAGATCCGCGAACTCTTGCAAGAGAAAAAGAAACGTATTCTAAGACGAAATAAAAAGATGTTCTCCCTATAGATATTATATTTTACATTAAAAATATCAATAAAATCACCGTAAAGTGCCAGTTCAGGAGTACTTTGCTATCGAGAAACGAACAGCAAAAGATGAACTCGTTTTGTGCATTATTTAAAAAATTCTTGCAAAAATGCAGTAATTAGGATCTATAAAGCCTCGCGTTCCGGGATTCTTCGAATTCCCGTTGCTTCGACGCATCGTGATATTTGAAATACCTTCTTTAAAATATAGAAGTCATATTTGTACCGATTCCGGAAGAGTTTAATTTTCTTTCGCCAAACGGGATAGAAATTCGAATCGAAACCAAACACTGAATCGCTCCGCGGCGAGCTATTAATTTACCTATATAAACAAAAGCATACGTTCCCCAATACGCATTGTTTACTGATGACCGATCGCGTCGCATAATTAATTCAACGAATTTTCTATTGTCAAACAGATCAATTAATGGGGACCTCTGCTAACATTATTTAAAATATGGATCCTTTCGTGCAATATTGAAATTTTCAATTATTTTAGAAAATACTGAGATTTATGTTACAGTTCAGACATTTTCGAGTGTTTGTGATTTTTTGTAGAATTGTAAAAACCTTGCAGGCTTTTGCAAACATAAATATGATATTTAATTTCTATTAAATTTGTTAACACTAGAACTGCACAGGAAGTGATTCGAAATAATTCACAATTTCTAATAAAAATTGTCAAGAATTTACTCGACACGATTTTTTAAAATTCTCATTAATTTTTTATAAAAGAATAAATAAACATTCATTTCCATTTCATTATACGTCCTTTCAATTTCCTTGGTACAAATAAATATAATTGTCGATAGTTTCAGTGCTAAAAAAAATTGTTATCTTTCGTCTAATAACAATCGTATCGATTCGATGAATACGAACGCAGGTTGTACTTAAATATAATACAGTTCGTTGGTGGCAGTATTTACAAGCCGTTTTAACAAGCACAAATGAATTTTAAGCAAGGGCGAATCGGCCCACCGCGATAAATCACCCTAATCGTTAGCCGTTAAACTATACACTCGAACAAAACGACCGGCAAACGGACATCAATTTTCATCGATAACAAGTTGCCACCGACCGTTCCTGTCGTTTAATAAATTAAACGAACCGTCAACAGCACCGTTAACGAAGAATTTCGTTCGACGACGAAAGTAAACTTGTCACCGCGTCCGGGCGCGTGAAATATTTAACGAGCTATCTGCACACGATCCGATTTGCAAACTGTTCGTCCCGTGAGCGATTAGTGTTCGTTTAAACTTTAATGCCGGCGCGCGAAACGACCGTCCATTTTTACACCCGTTTTATTTTTTTTTTCGCTCTTTGTCTTTCCCCTCGCGGTCGGAATACGCGAAATAACGAGAAACCTGCATCGCGATCGTTCGCATTATCTCTCGTCTCGTTAGACGTAAACAAAAAAATTGATGTTTCCGATAACCGCGGGGTGGTTCGATTATTTGCGTCACGCACGACCGTGAACGTGCGCCTTCGCGGCTCATTTTTCGAAACGAACGCGTCCGATGCAAGGAAAACGAGATATACTCGCGAACGTTACGGAAGAATTTTCATACGAGCCGCGTTAAAACCACCTTAAGGCGAAACGTGGCAGAAGTGCAAGTTATTTGCACGATTTTATGAAACGATATTAAGGGGGGGAAATCACTGTGACGAATTGAATTGTGTCTTTTTAGTGTTTAGAAAGTAAAATTCGCCAAAATGACAAAGTTCCAGAAGTTTTGATGGATGTAAACAAGGTAACAACGTTTCCTAATACGAAATTTTTACAAGTAGTTCAAGAAATATACTTTCGAAAACATTAAACATTCATTAAAAAAAAAGTTTCTCAGTAACCCCGAAAAAGTTCTTAAAAAATTGCTTTTATTTTCATCAGAGTGGTCTCCTTAAGCGTTTGATTGCTCTAAAGGGATGAAATGTACGCGTTTCGCGTGACAGAAACTATTGAAATAATTTCTCGCGTCGTAGGAAGACGGTTGATCCACTTCTTCGGTGAAAAATATTGCCAGGTTGCTTTCTAGGCCGCCATTATTCGTAAACTTGCGACGGTAAATTAATTATATGATTACGTCGAAACGAGTTCACTCATTTTTCTAGGAACATGTTTCCCTGTGATTAACCAAATTACACGGACATTTTTTCCAGACAGTTTCAAATATCTCGCGAGTTGCACCCTGTACGTGGACTCGAGAAACGATGGTAGCAAACAGGAAACATTCCTGAGATTAAACATCCACAGACGTTGGGAAAGATGCGTGCATCGCTGAAGAAGCCCAGGATATGCAAAGAGGTCTTCTTTGAGAGAGGAGAGCGGAGAAATTTTTGTATTCCGATATTTTAAGGTCAGCTTCCATTTTTTGTTCGTCACGTTTTCGTGAATAAATAAAACATAGATCCAGGCGTTTTCTACGGATATTCAAAGATCGATAATAAATGTCTACTATGATCGAAGAGATTTCGACGCTCGAGCGAGCCTGTTGGAAAATTAACATACGCAAACTTGCTTAAACGGGACAAGAGGAAACACTGCATCGCGTTTCGACCGAATAATGCTTCCGCGACAAAGCGATGAATCGATTTGAAACCAATGAAATATCTCACTTTGTGACCCCGACAGTTGTTTATATAATCAACGCGAAAAACTGTATCTCGAACAAATCAATCTTCTTGCACTTTGTTCTAGACACTGTGAAACGAGAACGGTGAATTTTATGAGACATTTCTGACTCTTTTATGAAAAAAGACTTTTGCAATTTACTCGAAGAAGTTACCAGGCATGAATCAAACAGTGTCGAAGTTATCCCACGTGTCTTTCGCGCATATAAATGCAATGCAGATGTAGACGCGGTTCCCGGCAGCCATGGCCGCTCAGTTTGAACACCAGATGCAGCTCGTAGAGTCGTAGTTAACTGCTGAATTGCAATAGGAGCTTTTTACATTTGACCCGAATCGAGGTCGGCATACAGATACGAACGGAGCACATAATATTTTCATGGAACATCTAATGCAACCCCGAGTGAACTATATCTGCTCTCCTCCGTCTTACTCCGTCACTGTTTATACGCTTTATTGCTTAAATTATCGTTTAACCGGTCAAGTATACGCGTCAACGAGAGATTTCATTTATTTCGTTGGAAAACTAACAGAATCTATGAGACACTGTTTAACGAATATTCGTTGCCTGTTCATCGAGAGCGAAAATCAACGTGAGAAACGAGCCAATTACGCGGTAAATATACTTTCGATTTGCTCGAGTTGCAGAGCGCATTGTGCGAATTCGTCGCAAACGCGAGCAGGCAAAGCAGGCGAACGTCGACTCGGTAAAGGCAATTTTCTGTAAAAGCAAACATTTGCAACGCTCGACAGACGTCGATACATTACTCCAGAATCGAATACATTTTGCCAGACATTTTGTCAATAGCGAACAAGAACAAGAACAATTCACGACCCCTAGCGAAACGTAACCTAACAAGATGAAGGCTGTTAAAACTCTAAAAAATATCTATAAAAATCCTCAATTCATGATCAAATACTTCGAGTTCGATCTAACATCGAACAGTCATATTTTACACGCGTTATATAACATTTAATATACATTACTGTACAAAAGTCACGTGCACTGTTTACCGTTGAATGTAATTTCACTTTACAACAGAATCCCCGAGAAACACGACTGAATTTCGAAAAGATCGTGCAGTGAGAGGAGAAAAAGAACGTTGGTGCGAAATATGATTCGAAAATCGCGAAAATTCCAGTCTGAAAATATCGTGCATGACAGCTGGTCCAAGATTACTGAGAACGATATCCCTCTCGAAGGGTTACAAAAATTACGGAATAAATATTTACGATAAATAAAGAGAAAATGTATTATTTATCTTTCTGTGCAGCCACGGTACATATATACCACCGTGCAGAAATATGTGACCACCTTCGTCTTATCGGAAGTGTACAGAGCAAAGTCGAAGATCTTCCAATATAACTTTTACCATTATTTCTGCCTGGAGCACTCATACGGTGAGAGTAAATTTTAAAATATAAAATTTTTAATCCATTGCACGTACGTACTTATGCATGGTAGTTAAGTTTACATGCATAGTGAAAATTCGAGTTTTGAGCTTCCCAAACGAGAATGAGTTCAGCGAGGAAATATTTCACGTGCAGACAGATGCATATTTTATGCTGCTGTTCATTAACTGTCGTCAATGAAATGACGTACGAGGGAGAAAGTGATAAATAATTGCCAGACAATGAAAATTAATTATTTCTTAATGCTTCTTCTTCTTTACGACAAATATCTCTCCTGGTCCCTAATTTGGTCCATAAGACATTTTCATAGTAGAAATAAATTGTTTATTCTCGTGGTAAGACCGCAGAATAAATCTATGTTAAATATTGAAAATATATTAATCGAATTTATACTAAAATCCCAAAGCAAAATGAATTAATCAAACGACACGAGACCCTTTGTTTTGCTGGGGGTGTAAACATGTAAACGCGATTTAAGATTCACGCGTTCCTTTGTGAAAAAGAAAATGAATATTTTCCCCCAAAAAATCCGTGTGCACGGTACTCACAGTAATATTTGTCAAGCTCGAAGTTGACGACAGCGAAACCAGGTTCCGTGCAAAAGCAGCAACGATTAATTAGGAACAATCGCCGCGGTTCCGAGACAATCACCGTTGCTCAGCCACGCATTAACCCGTCCGATCCCATCGTCGCCGGTCCCGAAACTGTTTTCTATCAGCACCACTCGAACACCGTTTTCACACTACGCGGGCACAGATCCTTTAACGACGTACTCGAGCCAGCGGTTCCCCGATATAATGGTCCGCCGTCGATAGTCTCCAAGTTGTTAACCGAACGAGCTCGTCAAAATATCGCCAGACCGTAAGACTCGCAACGTATTCTACCGGAGTCCAGCGATCCGTTCGCGTACCATCGCCTCCCTCGAAACGATATCGCCTCGTCGGTGGGTCGAATCATAGCACAGAACCTCGTGGCGACGATCTCGAAAGGTTACGGGTCCTTGTACCTTGCAAATCCTCGTCGACGCGTTTCTGACGTCTCCCCGCGTGCACGTGTCCGATCGAAAGCACCGAATTCCTACGAAATCCTTCGAAATAGTTCGAATCACTCGATCGCGGCACTCGTCTCGTGGACAAACGAACCTGCGACTCGAGATCTCATCTCGTCTCTAACAACGACATCGTCCATCGGGGATCATTATCGAAGATTCGATTTCCGTGTATCGTTCAGATCCTTCGATCGGCTCCCGTTGAGGTTATCCGCGAAACACCCGCGAGAACTTTTATTTTCGAGATCGATCGTCGCATTCTATCGATCAAGAACGAAACGACAGCGCGACAGGCACGAACGAGATGATTCTTCTTCGAACAGTTGAACGAAACTGGCACCGGGTGCTCGCGCGCCACTACGAAAAGGGTCACCTGGCCCGAGAGAAGGCGCGTCGCGGCGCACGTCTCTCTCTGCGACGCGAGCCGAACTGGCGCAAGCTCTTCCTACGGGGGTGAAAATCAACGATACGAACCCCTAGCGGTGTCGCGAGCGCGCCAAGATCGCCGTTGCTTCGGTTTACCCGGTTTTTATTACCCACTCGATCCTCGAACGATCGTTTCCGTAATTTTTTCCCCCCCCCCCCCCCCCTTTCGATCCTGGAAACACCCGTAAATATTAGGTTTCCCCTACAAAAAGGAACTTTCAATCACCACCCCCGCCACATTGATTCTGCGTTCGAGCAACATTTGCATTCAAGGAGGGAAACCACTGTGACGACTGAAAATAAAAGCAATTTTCTTGAATTTTTTTGAGGGTCACTTTGAAACTTTTTCTAATAAATGTTTAATGGAGTCGACAGAACGTTTCTTGAACTAGTTTTTGTAAAAATTTCGTATGAAAATATTAATTATTATGGACCGTATACCGGTGTGAAAGGCCTAAAGAAATTTCTTGGGAATTGTGCAATTTTCTGTAACTATAAGACTGTATTTCTCTATAAAAATAGAATTTTCAGTCATCACAGCCGCCATATTCGTTTCTACGAGTGATTACGAAACTCGTAATATTGTAAAAATATAATTTTTACCCGTGCAATAAATAAATGGGATGTATAATTAAGAAACGCACGCAAAGAGAATGGCGGCAGAACACGGATCTCTGACTCCGTAATTAAGAATTTTTATATTTCCATTTAAGGAAGGGAAGCACACGTTTCCACTCCACACGGAGAAACTGCGTTCGTTCGAAAAAGGAAACACGTCGCTGAGGCTGGGAAATATAGAAACTGTTACTATGGGGATTAGAGAAATTACGAAGACCTACATTTATCCCGATAAAACTGACCCGCGTTCGTTACAAATATTCTGAAAAAACACACACACGTTATATTTATCTTTCATTCCCTTTTAATTATTAATAAGTACGTTCCGTACAGCGATGATGGCGCTGGAGTGGAGAACATGCGATTAAATAGCAAAGTTCTGGCACTGAAGATATGTTATCTCATTAAACTGCGATCTATTATTTTTAACAAAGCTTAATCCAACTCCGATGAAGCCCGAGTGAGAAAGAATTAAAAAGCACCTCCCATAAAAACATCGGAGACGTAGATAATATTCGCCAAAAATTCTCTCTTGCGCGGAGTACCGTGAAATATTTATTTAAAATTTTAAACAATCCTTGCAGTTTCTCCTGTAAAAATAACACGCGAATAACGAACACGTTGAGACCCCTTTCAAGCTCATTATAACAAAATCAAAGGGAAGGGTCGAGTGCATGAAAATGTTAAATAAATGTGTAAAAGATCAGGTTTGGATTTTGTGATATGAGAATGGTAAATAAAACAGTGATTATTCGTGATTAATGTTTCACAAATAATCGTCCTGACAGAGACGTTATCCTGCATTAAATAATTCAATTGCACTCACACGGTGACGTCTGGGAGCTTCAATCTTGCTCGTACGAGACATTCTCATCGCGAATCAAGTTACAAAGACGCATGTGCGCCGAGGAATACGAAAGTTTGGAAAATAACGCGAACCCGCGAAAGTTACGAGGACACGAATAAATAAACCTGCTATCGGACGCCGCGAAAAGTGGAATGAAATTATATCGCGAGCGTCGAGGCGCCCCGTGAAACACCATCCTGGCAGCGAGTTATACAAAAATAAATTGAAAGAAGCGCGCGGCGCGCAAGATAAAACCTTTGAATGCGCCGCTTTAAAAACTTTTGCCAGCCGACCGCGCGAAAACTCCCTAAACGAGCTATTACATCGCGACAACCAAGACGTTTACGCGAATAAAATAGAAACTGGGTGATCTTCCTTCTCATTTTCCTAGTTCTACAACTGTGCGTTCTAAATTGGAACGCAAAATAATTTTTATATTCTAAAAACATTTGTAATCGAGAATGTCTCACCATCTACGAGCAAAAACAAGAACACGATTTGGTTATGAATAAAATTATAATAGTATGATATTTACTGAGTTTATAAATTATAAATGAAAGTAATATGAATTTCGAAATATACCGATTTACTATTCCACGAAAGCTACTGGATTTGGTCATCAATTACAGGCGAAACTACTCTGAGCGCGAAAGGCTAGACATCGTTTGACCAGATGAATCCTTAAAAGATTGAACGACGAAGCCATCCATCGTGTTTTACATACAACGCGGGCACACGAATCGAATAACAATTTCGACGGAGTATTGAAACGTTTCAGCGTAAAACCAGTGTACGTTCAAAGCGCCTTTTACAAGATGCAGTTCATGCATCCAGATCGGTGATAGCAAACGAATAGCGCGTGTGTCAATTCTGACGCGCGATGATATTCCATCGACGCGTTCACGATTTTACAGCGAATTTTTATTACATCGAATTTTATCTTGTTTGAAACTATATTTTACAACAGATCTAAAAATCAATTGCACCGTAATTATATTGCAATTACATTTATCGCGTAATAATCTCCATTACCTAAAACGATGTGTGATTTTATTTGAGCATGATCTCGAGTGAAGCAGTGAGATCGTATCGGCTCACCGTCGAAAAGATGTCAAGTTTATACGCTGCAAATACAACAAATGAAAAGGTGTAGCTACAAACGCGATTATTTTATATTTAATCCGACAATTAATTTATCTCGATAGATATTCCTAATTTTGACGCGCGACTGGTTGATCCGGATGCTGACGTTTATTCGTACGGTATTATAATCCGTCGCGAGAGTGTTTTATATCCAAAAACTTTTAACATTGACAGCCAGTACGTCGATGAAACGAGCATACTTTGGCATAGATATGTCATCGCTAGAAACTCAATGTGCCCGGGAGGTGCGTTCGAAATATCCAGACGATCAATGTCGTCGAATAACATGGACGTGTTGCTCAATTTTAAACCTCTGCTTTTTTCAGACCATATTTCGAAACAAACTGTTCGTATAAGAATGCCACGAACCAGTGATTTTCACATTTTTCAGAAGACTCCCCCCCCCTCCTAAAACAGAATTTTTACAAGTTCAACGCAGTAACAAAATTATATCATCCATTGTACTAGATTTCTTAGAAATGTTTATAACACAGGGGAAAAAGATCGCTTTAATATTAAATTTCTCCGAAGCATCCTGAACACTTCGTTTCTAATATCGCTCGTCGAGACATATGCAAAATATTTGTGCAACCGGAGATTAGCAAAAATATTTATGTCCCTTTGGTGCAAGCAAGATACTCGAGTTAGTATTTATGCAGAGTTTCAGGAACCTAATAAGCAAATCTTGAGACGCTCGGTCTCGAGTATAACGAAATGAGGCAGCAACCTAATTAGAGCAAAAGAAGAAAATTCCAGACGCTCGTTAACGGGTAAACATGTCTCGCCCCGAATGGATGTCAAGCAAAATGAATGTTTAATAAAATAAATGACGAAACCCCGTTCTCGTTTCGTTCCCTAATTGTCGACCTGAAAAATGAACCGTGCGTTCCTGAAAAATAACAAATGGCTAAATATCGACATTGGTCATTTTTTAAACATTATTATTGCGTGTTCGTTGTATTGTAAGCATTGCAGCGATCCGTTTTCCATTTTCCAGCCGGCGGATCAAAATTCCGTTCAAACAAAGTCCGAATCGGATGAAACTTAATTTCCACAAACGTGTAAGCCCACGCGTGCCGACTTTCCAACAGCTGTGCAGAAACTTTTCATTTCAAGTGCTTCAAGTGTCTTCTGCACAGCTTGTTGGAGCAGAGCGAACGTTAAAACCCTCAATGCGCGTTGCACGGCTTGTTGCACTCGATATAAAGCGTGCATTATGCATGCACAACCATGTTCACCAACGGAACCACATATTTTGTCGATGGACCGATCAAACTTACGTTCCCGACGAAAAGATAGATTAAAAGGGAAAACCACCGCGACGGGTGAAAACAAAAGCAACCCTCGAGAATTTATCCGGGGTAACTTTGAAACTTTCTCTAATGAATGTTCAATGTTTTCGAAAGTACGTTTCTCGAACTAGCTCTTGTAAAAATTTCGTATAAATATATTCATTATCATAGACGTAATAGGCAACAAGATTGATAAAAAAATAATTTATTATAAAATGCTGGAACTTTGAAGAGATTTCATGAATCTGTAAAAATGGCGATATTTCTTTTAACACCAGGTAGAAACTGATTGTTCGACTGAAAATTCCGGACGTGCGATCATAAGAGGATAGTATTAGGAATCACCGTGCAAAGTTTTAAGTGAATCGCATGAATATTCACGGAGTTAATAATAAAATTTCGATTTTCTCAATTCGTCACAGTGGTTTCACCCTTCAAGAGAAGATAAAACGCGTAAATTGTTGTTGTTCTTGATTTTCGTCTTATTTGGAGCCACAGAAGGAACTTGACTAAATTTGCAACAAACCAGTGTTTCGACGGAAACTCCATCAGAGATCCCATTGCGATTTAGGAGCGGTACGCCACCCCCGGCGGGAACAGTTTCGTCCACGCAGCATATAGGACGTTTTTACACGCGATTTTTTGCCCTCTGACATGTTCAGCCCCTTCTCTCTTTCGAACCACCTCGTTAAATCCATTTCCGAACAGAGACCGGCTTTCGAAACGGTCGTCCGGTTCCCATTAAAATCGGATATCTACTTTTTCCACTTCGACGGAGAAGCTTTGATATCTTCCAGTATCGTTAATTCAAACGTAATTACAAAAAGACTGCAGTTTTTTAGTAAACCGAGAATACCGTGGCTATTGTACGGCGGAATCTTAATTAAATCGTAACAGAAGGATCGATAAATAAATTCAGGCACTCACCGAAAGAACAACAGGATTCCA